AGACTAATGGGGCACAACAGTCCAGGGGCAAGGACTAGAAGACAGGAGGGGACAAGAAAGCTGGTAATAGGGAACCCAAGGTCGAGAAGGGAGAGTGTTGACATGTCGTGGGGTTGTTAACCAATGCCATAAAACAGCATGTGTACTAACTGCTTAATGAGAAACTATTTGTTCTGTAAACCTTCATCTGAAGTACAATAAAAAAAAACTCTGCTAAGTGAAAGAAGTCAGACACAAAAGACCACATAGCATATGATTCCATTTATACAAAACTTCCAGAAAAAGCACATCTACAGAGACAAAAAATCAGATCAGTGCTTGCAAGGGGCTGGCGACAGGTGCAGGCATTGAGTGCAAAAGGCACAAGAGAACTTTTGGGACGATGGAAATGTTCTAAAACTAGATTCTCTCTACACTTACCACAGTTGTATTTTGTGGTACATAATTTATGCCTCAATAAACCTGATAAAAAATGGCCTTCACGACCAGACTTAATGGTCTGACTAAGACTGGAGGTGCCCTGGAAAGCATGGCCCCTGGTCTCTCCATCACCCCAGAACTAAAACAATTTCCGAGGCCAACTCTTCAGACAGGGATTGGACTGGACTGTAGAACATAAAGTGATACTCGTGAAGAATGTGCGTCTTAGACAAGTAGATATAAGAGACCAAAGGGGCGGCTTCTGTCCAGAGGTGAGAAGGCAGAGAGAGTTAGGAGCTCGTTGAATGTTCATGCGGAATCAGGGGCGGAGGGGGGGAGCATGCTGTCGCAGAATGGGTGAGTGGTTGGGGTCTCATAACAAGGTATGTTAAAAAAAAAATTCTGTATGGGAGACTAACTTGAAATGTAAACTTCATTTAATTACATCAATTAAAAAAAAAAACAATAATGTATCAAAAAAAAAATGGCCTTCACGCTTCAATCTAGTTTTGGTAAAAGATGTGAAGTTTTCACATTCATATGCACACTCAAGATGTGCAACATCCACAGGTGTCTTTCTGGAATGTTTTTGGGACAGTCTTCGTACACATTAAGGGCTGTAATGAATGATACCCTTTTGTCCTCCCCTTTCCCTATAACTGTATATTTCTTTCTCTCAGACTAAACGATCCAGATTCTCAATGGCAACAGTAATTCAGAGCATGAAGTAAAATTTTGCAATTCGAGGACTGGACATTCGTGGCTCCAGCTGTTCACTAGAAGCCCTGCAGGTCCATGGGCTCCAGCAATTTGGAATTCGTTGAGGAACAAATTTAAATTTCTGTGAGTCTGGTGTGTGGACCCATGTTGTGTTTCTTAGCTGGTGGGTGAACTTGGCTCGCCAAAGGAAAACGCTTATGTTTCTCTTCATGAAGTGTTTTGTATATAAACTTTCCCTGCTGAACTTTGGCTAATGTCCATAAATAGGGAACTATTAGGAAAATCATTTATTAAAAAAAAATCATTTACCTTTAAATTGCTGACTATAGTCATTTGTCTCAAAATAACTCTATCATTAATAATTGTTGCAAATACGTCAGCGATCATAGTAAACATCTCACATTTCCCAGCCCTTGCTCAAGATTTTCGCATCACTTTCACAAAGAAAAAGGCTCTTGATGAAGTTAACAAATGCTTTTCATTCACAATAGTTCTATAAACAGAACCTTCGTGAACTTGACTTTCCTGTTTATGGCCATTGGCCCAAGTTACACAAACACACAAATGTGAAGAAACGCTTCCTATCTTAGAGCAAGCATTCTCACTCTTTAGCTATAACTCGTGTGTCCGTTTCTCTATCAATACCATACAGGCTAGATACACACTCCTATACATAAATCCAAGGTCCCTGGGTGGCACAAACAGTTTGCACTCCTCTGCTAACCTAAAAGTTGGCAGTTCAAATCCACACAGTGGCACCACGGAAGAAAGGCTGGGCGATCTGCTTCCATAAAGATTATAGCCAAGAAAACCATATGCAGTAGTTCTACTTTGTGACATATGGGATCACGAGTCGGAATTAACTGCAGCAACAGGTTACTCATAAATCCAAGTGTAATGAAAACAGGTATAAAAGATGTGTTGGACTGTCATTGTACAAAATTGAGATTATATGTTTGGCAAATGTGCATTTCATTCCTTATGAGTACAGTGTTTATGCCAAACTAAACCAAACCCAGCCTTGTCTAACTTCCATTTTATCATCACTTTTATCAGATGTCTTAGTAAGTGATAATAGGTTTATATTTCATAGGTAAGCAAAGATTTTAAATTAAAGCCCCAAGTGTGACCTATTTTAAGTACTTTTCAGCAGAATAGAATTAACTTGTGTTTTTTTCTCATTTACTCTTCACTTTAACTTCTTCACAGGCTTAACTGTATCTTCCCTCAGTCATCCCCTCCTTCGACATTTTCTGAGCACCTACACTGTGCCTGGCTTTGCACTGAGCACTGGGGATACAGCTGTGAACAAGGCAGACAGGAGCCCTGAATCACAGAGCCCAAAGACATCAAAACTTCATGTCTGAGGAGTAATGAAAATACAAAAGCTTATGTAATGAATTTTAAGTCCAGAGAAACTACGGTGAACATTTTTCATACAACAAACAAAATTTAGACATTTAAAAGGCCATGCCTGTTGATACAAGCTACCATCAAAGTATCAGCATTATTGTTGTAGAATCACTACCATAATCCCAGTAGTTTTATTCTAAGATAGCATTTTTACTCATTTTTTACATTTTTTTTTTTTTTTTTGAGAACCCCTACTGGCCTGAAATTCTGAATCCTGGCTGATCCCAAAGATTTATTTTTAGAAAGTTCAAAGAAATAGAACTATTTTAGTTAACTCCTCTCCACTTCCCATCTTGAGCTCTACAACAATAGATTCAAGACAACCATCACTCAGGTACAACCAAGGGAATAACTCTCTCTCTTCCCTTCTCCCACCCACAGCCAATCACCCCTCACATTTCTAATAGGCAAGTCTGTGCCAGCTGCTCCTACAAGGAACGTCCAATAGGCGGGCCTCTGGAACTCTGCTTCCCCTACTTGTCCCTGACACACATCTCTCCTCATTAGGTGATAACCTCCCACATCAGCAATTAGTGCATCTTTCTGAGCCCTCAACAGTGAAAGCAGAAAGCGTTATTCTGCAGGGCTTTTGCTCAGCCCTTATTTTCAGGGGAGAACCAGGTGCAACACCAGACAGCATTCTCTTTCTACAGGCTACCCTCTGGCCTAGAAACACAGTCAGCTGAGTGTCCTCAGAAAGCCACTTCCTACTCTATCTAGGACTGGGAACCCAGGTTTAATGACCTATACAGTATTAGAAACTCAATCAGAACAGAACTGGTTCTGAAACTCTGTAGTCGATGTTCTTCCACTGGAATTTACATATTTTTCAACCACTAAAATCAAGTATTGAAATCAACTTTGAATTGTATTATAAATGCTAAACTCATAAAAAAATAAGTATACACATAATTACATCTGTATATTAATACAAATTATACACAATCACAAATAAAATATTTAAAGAAAAATTATTTAGGTGCTGTAAATAAAGAAAATTATAAGTATTTTAGTCATTGTTACTTTATCTTTTTAATTTCTATATTTGCACGTTTTATAATATACACACTATATTAATAAAGTAACACGTGCATGTAATTTATAAATAAAGAAGCATATACTGACACTGCATGGTGTACAACTTTCACTTATGGAGGTGCACGGTCAATAGTTTCTAAAACACTGACCCAGACTCCCAATGATAACCTTGCCCTTTTGGAGCTCAAGCTCCAAAATTACCCCCCTCTACTGGCAACCCTTGAGGAGCCTCGGTAGCATAGTGGTTAAGTTTGCCTGCTAACTAAAAAGTTGGCAGTTCGAATCCACCAGCCACTCCTTGGAAACCCTGTGCGGCAGTTCTACCCTGTCCTATAGGGTCACTGTGAGCTGGAATCCACTTGACAGCAACAGGTTTGTTTTCTGGCAACACTTAAAATTTCCCAGCAATACTTACTGGGTCTCTTTTAGAGCTGAAGGGAGACAATTCTGGCTTACCGTAAAGGGGTTGCAGAGTCAGCACTGGATTCAAATTCAGACTGCCCCATCTTATGATGTAGGGAAGTTTTTGAACTTCCCGACCTGAAGCACCTCGCAGCGCTGCGGTAAGGATTGTTTGTGCAGGCCTGGCACACCGCAGGTGGCTGATTGAGCAGCAGGAGCCATATCATTTACACCAGGATGTATGTGGGTGGCCCGACAGCCTCTCAAAGACTCTGAGATCCAGGTCTATCTCTGTCCATTTAAGGTCTCTTTAACCCCAATGACTCTGGAAGGTGGCCATTCAGGCTGTCGAGTCAAGTGGTTTTTTCAGTGACATCGGAGTGATACTGCTGATAACCTAGAAGTTCCCCCAAAAAACACACCACGAAAGTAACTGCTGCCAACTTCTCCGAATAAGGTCGGGGAGACGAAGGGCCACAAACGCGGCGTGCCTGTAAATTCTGGGAGTCTCAAGGGCCTCGCCGGGTGCCACCTCTATTGATGGAGGCAAGAGACAGTTTCATGCAACCTCGAGGCTCAGCTTCGGACTTTCTCCTCTACTTGCCCAAACCTGACAATATCCTTCACTCACCTTGCGTGCGTTACCCATCTCCGCCTCGGGCGGCGTGTTAGCCAGGTTCAGGTACCCACAGGCTCACTCCCGGCGCAATGCGCCCGCCCCGGGGTCGCTGGCACGCGCGGGGGTGGAGGGAGCCCTTCCCGTCGCCCAGGGTCGCTGGCACGCACCGTTGGGGAGAGCCAACCCCCGTCGCCCGGAGTCACTAGCAAGCGCGGGAACGGTGCCCGCGCTCCGCGCCCGGAGTCGCTGGCACGCGTGGGGAAGGGCCGTCCCCCGTCGCCCAGGGTCGCTGGCACGCAAGGGGAAGGACGCCGCGCCCGTCGCCGGGGGTCTCCAGCACGCAACCCCCCACCTCCCATCCCGGCCCCGCTCTCTCCCAGGACCTTACCTGGATGGCGTGGCCGCGGCCCGGGGCGGTGGGCCCCCCCACCAACTTGCAGTAGAGCTCTGGCCGGGGTCGCCCGCCGCCAGGCTCCCGCTCCCCGCAGGTGGCGGTGGCCCAAATCCTCGCCGCCTCAGCCAGGTTGAAGTAGGGCGGGTGCAGACTGAGCTTGGCCGCGGCCCCGGGGTCCCGAGCGGCCGCGCAGAAAACGAGAAACAGCAGCAGCAACAGCGGGAGGAGGCGCAGTGCCCAGCCCTGCGTGCGTGCGGCCGCCCCCATCCCACTACCCGCAGGGTCCGCGCGCCTCTGGCGCCGGCCCGGGGTCTCTGCGGCACCGCGTCGGAGCGGCTGCGGCTCTCCTCTTGCCTTTCGCGAAACAGGGTCCGCGAGGAGCGAGCGCAGCCCCGGGTGTGGGCGGCGCGGACCGCGCCCCCGGCTCCACGCGCCGGGCGTATGCGGCGTCGGGGTGGCTGCTCCCGCTTGGAAAACCTGCGGCAGCTGCAGCTGGCACCCGCCCGATCAGGAACTGACAGCGCTGAGCCCGGGGCCAGCAGACGTCGTAGCCTGCAAGCGCGCTGCGCACTGGAAACTTCGCAGGCGGGGGAGGGGAAAGGCGTTCCCCGCTCCCACCCCCGCGGCTGAAGCGGGGGCTGCGACCGCCCACCTTCCGAAGGCCAGGGCAGAACTCATATTTCTTCTCAAGGCCTCAGACTAGTCACAAAAGGCAGCTCCAGACCTCAGACGAGGGGGAAGGAGGCTTGCAGCGAATTTGGATGAAATAGCAGAAGAAAGTGCCACTGCCTGAAAAACTTACCTCAAAGACGTTGTGATTTACCGGACAAGTATTGATTGGTCAATTGTCAAACATAGTGCACCAGCGATCTTTATGCCACTGCAGCCACGTATTGGGGGTAAAAGGAGCTCTCGGGAAATTGGGAGTGGCGAAACTTACACAGTTAAAAAGCAACCGATTGTACAAGGTGTGGTTTGTTAAGCTAGAAAGGTACCTTGGAGGAAATTCTTTAGTCGGCTTACTCGAGCTTTCACGCTGACATCAGGGCAGAGGATACTCCCTCAGGCTGTGGCTTGGTCCTATATGCAGGACACCTCACGAAAACAGAACCGTATAGGCCCTCTAAGCAGTTAGAAGAAAGCCGCCATTGCTGCAGTCCCTGGTTGATGCACGTGGTTAACAGGCTGGGCTGCTAACCGCAAGGGCTGGAGGTTCCAGTCCACCCAGAGGGGCCTCAGAAGAAAGGCCTGGCGATCTACTTCCAAAAAATCAGCTTTTGAAAACCCCACGCATGAGATCACCTTGAGTCGAAGTGGACTGGTCCGCCATTGCTGCAGGCTAAGATGACCAGGAGAAGTGCCTCAGAGGAAGTAGAACTTGAGCTTTGAAGTCTGGAGAAGGAAAAAAGAGTAAAGGTACAGGGATAGGGATAAAATGGTACAGTTCATACAAAAATGATTGGTATGGTTATTAAAAACTGGAATATGTTGCAGGAGGAACTGTGTCTATTTAATCTTCCTTTTGGTCTTCAAAAATAAAAAGATAATTTGTCTGCATGACACCAATGAAGCCATAAAGACCGATAAGTTGATTACATAAAAATTAAAATAAAATCATATACACCAAAAAGCACTATATCAAGCAAAAATAGAAAACAAATGGGGGAGTAGACTATTTGCTTTTACAAAACACAGAGAAAAAGATGAATACTCAGGGCTAAAAACCCTAACAAGCAAGTCACAGAGAAAGAAATACACAAAGCTAATAAACATTCTTTAAAGTTTTACCTTTCTAGTAACTGAAATACAAGTAAAGCAACAAAGAGACTCATCTTTCACTTACCATATTGGCATAGGTTTTTCTAGTGATAAAACTCAAGGTCAAAGTGAATTCAGGAAATTTAGTATAATATTGGTAGAAGAGAAAATCATATAACTTCTTATACACTGCTGGTGGGAATGTAAAATGGTGTAACCACTACAGAAAATTGTTTTTTAAAAAATTTTTGTATAACCTTTCTGAAGGGCAATTTGCCAGTGCTTAGTGGAAGTCTCACAATGTGCATGCCCTTTGCCTCAATAATTCCATTTGTAAGGATTTATATCCAGGAAATAATTGGAGATATTTTCAAGGGCTTATCACAGCTATTATAACAAAGAAAAAAGTTTAAAAGAAACTAAATGTTCAATAATAAAGGACTGGTTAAATAAATAGTGGTATATCCACATAGTAAAATACTACATGGCCATTAAAATTATGTTACAGAAGTGTAGACAGATACTGACTATATTTTAAAGGAAAAGAAATGTTCTTAAATAATATATATGTACAAAAACTAATTGTATTTATATACACTAGAAATGAACAGTCCAAAATGAAATTAAGAGAACAATTGCATTTACAATAGAATCAAAAAGAATAAAAACTTTAAGAATAATTTAACAAAGTACATGCAAAATTTGTACACTAAAAACTACAAAACATCATTGAAAGATGTTAAATAAGACCTAAATAAATCCCATGTTCATGGATTGGAAGACTTAATATTGTTAAAATGGCAATACTCCATTTATCTACAAATTCAACATAATTTCCACCAAAAGTTCAGCTGGCTTTTCTGCAAAAATTGACAAGCTGATCCTAAAATTCATATGGAAATGTAAGGTACCCAGAATAATCAAACCAATCTTAAAAAAGAAGAAGAAAGTTGGAGGACTGACATGTCTCGATTTCAAAACTTGCTACCAAAAAAAACTCATTGCCGTCAAGTCGATTCCAACTCATAGCAACCGTATAAGACAGAGTAGAACTTCCCCATAGGGTTTCCACAGCGCTAATTTTTTATGGAAGCAGACTGCCACATCTTTTTCCCACCTAGCAGCTGGTTGGTTTCAACTGCTGACCTTTTGGTTAGCATCCAAGCACTTAACCACTGCACTCTCAGGGCTCCAAACCTGCTACAAAGTTACAATAATTGAAATAGTCGTGTACTGGCATAAGGACAGACATACGGATCAGAGGAAAAGAACTGAGAGTCCAAAAATAATACCCTTATAGTCAATTGGTTTCAAGACAATTCAATGGGGAAAGAACATTTTCAACAAATATTGCTAGGAAAACTGGATATCCACATGCAAAAGAATGAAGTTGGACCCTTACCTCACACCATAAACAAAAAATTAACTCAAAATTGATCAAAAAACTATATGTAAGAGTTAAAACTATAAAACTCTTAGAAGAAAACGTAGGAGTAAATCTTCATGACCTTGAATTAGGCAACGATTTCTCAGAAATGACACCAAAAGCACAAGCAACAAAAGTAAAAATAAATAAATTGGACTTTAACAAAATTTAAAAGTTCTGTAATTCCAAGGACACCATTAAGAAAGTGAAAAGACAACCACAAAATGGGGGAAAATATTTACAAATCATATATCCAATAAGAGACATATCGAGAATATATAAAGAACTCTTACAAACTCAACAATAAAATGACAATTTATTTTAAAAATCGGTGAGGATTTGAACTGACATTTCTCCAAAGAAGATGTATACAAATGACAAGTAAGCAGATGAAAAGATTCACAACATCAATAGTTATGGAATTCGGGAAATGCAAATCAAAACCACAATGAGAGATCACTTTACACACACACACTAGGATAGGGTCATGGATTGAGTTGTGTCCCCCAAAAATACCTGTCAGCTTGGCTGGGTCATGATTCCCAGTGTTGTATGATTGTTGTACCTGATGTGATTTCCTTATGTGTTGTAAACTCTATCACTATGAAGAGATTATATGTGATCTCCTTATGTGTTGTAAATTCTATCACTGTGACGAGGTTATACTGATGAGGTTGATTGACAAGATTAGTGTCTTAATGCAATTTCTTTTGAGATATAAAAGAGAGAAGCAAGCAGAGACACATGGGAACCTCATACCACCAAGAAAGCAGTGCTGGGAGCAGAGCGCATCCTTTGGACCTGCGGTTCCTGCACAGAGAAGCTCCCAGACCAAAGGAAGATTGATGACACGGACCTTCCTCCACAGCCGATGGAGAAAGCGTTCCCCTGGTGCTGATGCCCTGAATTTGGACTTCTAGCCTACTGGACTATGAGAGAATAAATTTCTCTTTGTTAAAACCATCCACTTGTGGTATTTCTGTTGGAGCAGCTCTAGATGACTAAGACAGATAGCTATAATCAAAAAAACAGATAACGAAAAGCATTGGTGAGGATGTGGAAAAATTGGAACCCTCATAGTTCGTTGCAGTAGTACATTGTCAGAGAACTGCCAGAAATTCAAGCTGGATTCAGAAGAGAACGTGGAATGAGGGATATCATTGCTGATGTCAGATGGATCTTGGCTGAAAGCAGAGAATACCAGAAAGATGTTTACCTGTGTTTCATTGACTATACAAAGGCATTTGACTGTGTAGATCATAACAATTACGGATAACTTGAGAAGAATGGGAATTCTAGAACACTTAATTGTGCTCATGCAGAACCTGTACATAGATCAAGAGGCAGTTGTTCAAACAGAACAAGGGGACACTATGTGGTTTAAAGTCAGGAAAGGTGTGTGTCAGGGTTGTATCCTTTCACTATACTTATACAATCTGCATGCTGAGCAAATAATCTGAAAAGCTGGACTGTATGAAGAAGAATGTGACATCAGGATTGGAGGAAGACTCATTAACAACCTGTGATATGGAAATGAGACACTCTTGCTTGCTGCAAGTGAAGAGGACTTGAAGTACTTACTGAAGAAGACCAGAGACTACAGTCTTCGGTATGGATTGCACCTCAACGTAAAGAAGACAAAAATTGTCACAACTGGACCAATAAGCAATGTCATAATAAACGGACAAAAGACTGAAGTTGTTAAGGATTTCATTTTACTTGGATCCATAATCATTGCCCATGGAAGCACCAGTCAAGAAATCAAATGATGTATTACATTGGGCAAATCTGCTGCAAAAGACCTCTTTCAAGGATTAAAAAGCAAAGATGTCACTTTGAGGACAGTGGTGTGCCTGACCCAAGCCATGGTATTTTCAATCGCCTCATATGCATGTGAAAGCTGGACAATTAATAAGGAGGATTAAAGAAGAACTGATGCCTTTGAATTATGGTGTTGGCGAAGAATATTGAATACACCATAGACTCCCAGAAGAATGAACAAATCTGTCTTGGAAGAAGTACAGCCAGAATGCTCCTCAGAAGCAAGGATGGCAAGACGTCGTCTCACGTATTTTGGACATGTTATCAGGAGGGACCAGTCTCAGAGAAGGACATCAAGCTCAGTAAAGTAGAGGG